AGTTAGGTACCCCCAAAAGGGGGGGGGATGGGGGGTTACTTTGATTTCACATTAAAAGGAATGGCACTAAAACTACAAATTGTGGATAGATTTTCAATAGATACAACCATGATTCTCCATGGACAATCTTCTCATCAACAGCACATAAATAATCTATTAATCTGCCCCCCAAAATTGGCATGGAAGACAAAAACGTACCCCAAAAAAAAGGGAGCAGAAAGCTTAGAGCCTTTGTTATTCGGAATCGCTCTCTACGCTGCCCATGGCTTTCAACCCTCTTGGTTTCTGCACCAAAACGACCCAAGTTTCCATGTAAATATAAACCAATACCCATAAACTACAAAAAAAAAATTTGTTTCAACAAAATGAAGGGGGAAAAGTGTAATGAAACGTCATCAAAATTTTTTTTTTTTTTGAAAAACGTCAATAAAAGAGGTAAAAGAGCACCGAAAAAGGAAAAACTGAGGCAAACCCCAAAACACAAAAAAAGAAGAAGATAAAGCACTTTGGTACCTTTTTGGAAGTCTTCTTCTCTCTGACTTCATACCTCTCTAAAGACATATCCGTCAACCATGCTCCCGGACTCACCAACTGTACCATTTTCCGGCACCGGCGCCGATGATGAAACAAAAGATTCAGTCTTTATCCAACGCACATAATACAGGGAAAAAAAGAATATCATAAAGAAGAGGACTTACAAGTAAAGTTCTTTGAATAAGTTTAGTCCTCTTCTTAGGTCTTTGAGGAAGTTTACAACCTTTCATAGCCATGAAATCTTCTTCTTTCTCTTTGCTTGACAAACTTATATACAACTTTGGCCAAACTATGTTATTCTCGCCGCCACTTACGGCAGCGCTATCCACCAGAATTTTGCCATTTTCCTCTGCCGACCCTCTTGTTGTGTAACACCTTTCCTCTTTCTCCGGTGAACATGATTTTCTTCCCTCCGATCTATGCATCGCCGAATCTGAATTCCTGGTACCAAAACACAATACCAAAAAATTATTAAGGAAAATGAAAGAAAAATTTGCAGAACTCCGATTAAGGTTTTTTATTTTCCTAATTGGGATCTAAAAAAGAAGGAAACTTTCCTTAATTCCGCACTGACCATTTTTCAGCAAGATTTTGAAAATTCCTCGGGACCCAAATAAGGAAAGAAAAATATTAAAAATATTAATACTACGCGCTTTCTCTCCGGAGAATGAGGGTTTTTTTTCAGTAAAATGTGAAGGAAACAGGAAATTTTCCAGATTGGGATAGAAAAAAGTTGCAAAAACTGTGCAGATTTCCCAATTTACTGTAATTTTTTAACCAAATATATATCTTTTCTGGGTAACCAAAAGGAAAAAAATGAGGAGAGAAAGATTTTCTTTCCAGTTTCTCAAAAAAATTCAGAAAATTTACGAACTTGAAGAAGAAAATTTTCCAAATATTTAAAGTTGAGTTCCCAATTGGTATAGATACAAAAAAGAAACATTTCTGTATTTCCATTTTCACCGGTACCCAAAAAAAAAAATGATTTCCCTTCCCTTCTCTCTGTTTCCAGATTTGCTGAGAGAGAATTGACAAACCTGGTAAGACGAGGAGGGGTAAGAGGGAAAAGGGTGTCTTTAGTAGCGGCGAAATGAGATGATGATATTTTGCGGCGAAATCTACAAGGTTGGGGTCCTCTGACTCTCACACATCGGAGTCTCTTTCTACTTCCCCACTGCAAACACAATACTTCTGTTTCCTCATTCTTCTCTTCCTTCTCCATCCTCCCTTTCAAAAAACAAACATTTATTTAGATTCTCTTCAGATACAAAAAGTAAACGGGAAGAGATAAAGAACAAACATCTACTTACCTCAAGATCTGTGTTTGATACAGGAAATCCTTGAAAATACAAACCACAATATGAGGTTTTGAGGGCTGAAATAAAAGGGAATCAGAGGGGTGAATGTTTGAACATGGTAGAAGATAAGAAAAAGATGAAAACAAATATACCTCAAATTTGAAGATTTTTCATCAAAAATAAGAAGATACAGCAAATGGGTTTCCCCAAAAAGTGAAACTTGTTTATGAAAATCAGAAAATTCCAGCACCAAATTCTTCTCTTTCTTGGTCTATATGGCTATCAATTTCGGACAGTTCTTGAGTTTAAGTGTTTTTTCCGGAGACTGTTTCTTTCTGAGAAAAAACTCTCTTTGGATATGATGAAATTGGAAAGGGTGGAGTGGGTGGGGGTTTCTTCTTCTTCCTCGTCTTCTCTCTCTGCTCTATCTCCATTTATATACACTCCAAAGAGCGCACTCGCAGCAGATTGCATTTTAGCCGTCTGATTATCTAGGGGACGGCTTTGATTCAGTTTAACCTATGCTAACGCTCCAAGCCCATATAGATATAGGCCTAAACAGAACCAAACCACACCAAAAGCCCATTCTTTTTGGTTGGAAAAAAGGATCTATATGCAAATAGCCCGTCGAATTCATTGTTTATTTTTTATAGCCACTATATATAAATAAAAACATATTGATTATATATATATATATAATCGTCAGATATTTTTATTTAGAGTAATTGGTGGATGACTATTTAGATTAATTATTATTGAATAAACTTTAAAAGTGGCTTCAGCTGTCCATAATTAATTTGAGAAAACTGTTCAGTTTGACGCCCCTAAAAATTTTTTGTTACTATTAGCCGGACTCATAAAACACAATAAATAGGGAGAAATTCAAAAATAGTCAAATTTACAACTGGTCGTTCAAAAATAGCCCAATTACAAAAGTAATCGAAATTTAGCCACTTTTTATGTAAAGATAAATCTGAGCGAAAACACTGTTCAAAACCCGGAAAATACTCCAGTATATTATGCTGAAGTTCCAGCATAAGTATACTTGAACTCCAGCATATTATACTGGAGTTCCAGGATAAGTATGCTGGAACTCCAGCATAATATGATGGAGTTCCAGCATAAGTACACTAGAACTTCAACATAATATACTGGAGTTCCAGCAAGTATATTGGTCCAGTATAATATACTGGAGTTTGGAGCACAGGTGCTCCAGTCTCCAGTATATCATACTGGAGCAAGCAAAGTATACCGGTCCAGCATAATATGCTGGAGTTCATACACAAGTGCACCGAACTCCAGTATATTATGCTGGACCGGTCTCTATTGCAGCAAAATAGTGGCTATTTTTCATTGACTTGGTAAACGCTAGCTATTTTTGATTGACCAATCCGAAAACTGGCTATACCGTGCTATTTTTACCTACAAATAATAGCTTTAAATTATCTTTTTATTATAAAGTGGCTAAACTTCTAGTTTTTTCAATGCCATAAAAAATTTCATAATAAAATAAGGGATTTAACCTAACTATATACTATGTTAGAAACTTATTTACTCTCACTAACTAGAGAGGTTTTAACTTAATTAAAATTTAATATACAATTTACTAATTATATACATAAATTAATTATAAATAAGAATTCCTTAATATTAGGCATTTTACATAGGTAGCTTATCCTCTCCCCCCCACCCCCATTTGGAAGCCTATTTCCAAGCCATTCCAAAAGCCCTAGAAAAAGGCCTTTATTTTTTGAAGATTCACTTTCATCGTGACCACGAAAAGACAATCCAAAGTCCAAGAGAAATCTTGCAACATCAATCGAGGCATTTTAACGAATTCGTTATTCAGTTTTTTGTTGATCGGATTGCTTTTCAAAAGCAGCTTGAATTGATTGAGATTGATTTGACAAGTCTAGCATATTGTTGAAGCACTTATGGTGGAGATTACTTACTTCACCAACATGTAGATCAAATCTTTCGGTTGCTTTATTCCAAGCCTTAAAGTCGGTTTTTGTGAAAGAGTCACCTGTGCTTCCATTAACGTAATCATTTTTGAATAAATAACAATATAAACAAAATGCGGCATCTTTCTTCACACTATACTCTAACCATCTAGAATACGAACCTTTAAACCAACCCGAACTAAATTGGCGCATTTTCTTCCCAAATAAAGTTTTAGGAAATTTGTGATCTGGTTGGCAGGGCCCTCTTTGGATGTAGTGTCTTCTCACTTCATCCCGTATTCTAGGGTATATCTATCAATGGGTATTCTCTCTCCGGGGTCGGTATTAAGTGATTTCACATCAAACTCTTCGACAAAATGGGAGGAATTGTCTCTAAAACTAGAACTTGGTTGAGGAGAATTTAACCTCGTCAAAAATTTGTCCATCTCAATTCACATCAAGAGAACTTCCTACAAAGCAACAATGCCAACCAAAATAATATTTTTAATATGATTAATCAACCAAACTTTTTGAGGAGTAAAAAGAAACATAATAAGTGAACATTGGTTCCGTTTGTACAAATAAAGGGGTTTTGTTAACTATTAATCAGCAACTCAAAAAGTGTCGAGTGCTCAGTGACAAAGGTTAATGAGTTCAATCGAATAACTTAACATTTAACAAGTGAAGTAGTATAAGATTACAAAAATCTTATACTACTCATTGAACTCATTTTAAGAGATATCATTTTAAGCAGTTATATCAAAGAGCTCACCGTTTCTAATTTTTTGAGAGTCGAGCAAACAATAAATTTCAAAAACTAAAAGAAGTACACCTTTTGGGGCCTTAAAATTTTTGGGGCCTAAATCAAAGGCTTTACTAGCCTCAATAAAATCAAGAAAAATTACAGAAGTTCAGAGATTCAATCAAAATAGAATAGCCAAAAGTGAGAACAAGACACAAATAAGAGGCAAGCAAAACCTTCTAGTTAAGCCCCTTCTCAATCGTATTTTAAAAGGAATTTTTTTAAACCCTAACTTAGAAACTGAAAGTTACCATTAGAAAAGTGAAAACAAGATGGAGAATTCCAAGTATAATTTTTAAAATCTTACCTAGAAAAAGATTCGGCAGCTGCTTCATGCCTTAATCCCTGAAGAAAGAAACGTGTGATGCCATGATGGTGAATAGGTGAAGGATGAAATTTGTTTTGGTTTGGGTTTAGAAGAAAGAACTGATGTCAAAGAGAGAGAAAAGGGAGTAGGCGTTGAAATTTGTTTTGGGTTTAGAAGAACCTTATGTCAAAGAGAGAGAAAAGGGTACTAGTAGGCGTGTGCAAAAAGGGTACTAGTATGCGTTAAATTAAAGGCCTGACCAAATGAGATCCAATCAAAAAAATTATTTTGATTGTTGGACCTAAGATTCGAACCTGAGTCTTGAAGAAGCCAACTACTCCCACAAACCAACTCTTCTATCCAGTCTTTGTGACTGAGGGTGGCGCATAATATATTTATAGGGGTCCTTCCTGTATTAACTTATATATATAGAATATATATNATTGAGAAGAATTAAACCTCGTCAAAAATATGTCCATCTGAATTCACATCAAGGGAATTTCCTAAAAAGCAACAATGCCAAGCAAAACAATATTTTTAATATGATTAATCACACTCCTTATTTTATTATAAGTCATAACTATATTATTATTATTTTATTAAAGATAGAAGAATCACTTACCAATTTCTGAAAGGTATCCTTAAAATCCAAATACAATTTGGTCTCAAATCATCCACTTCACTGAAATAATATTTCAAATAGCATTAGCACAAATCTTCAAATACCTATGAAATTAATTTATTAAGATAAAAAATTAGCACACCAACTAGGTTAAGTCCGCTCAAACAATGAATTCAAAAACTAAAAGAAATACACCTTTTGGGGCCTCAAAATTTCTAGGGCCTAAATCAAAGGCTTTACTAGCCTCAACAAAATCAAGAAAAATTACAGAAAATTCAGAGATTCAATCAAAATAGAATAGCCAAAAGTGAGAACAAGACACAAATAAGAGGCAAGCAAAACCTTCTAGTTAAGCCCCTTCTCAATCGTATTTTAAAAGGGATTTTTTTAAACCCTAAATTCGAAACTGAAATTTACCATTAGAAAAGTGGAAACAAGATGGAGAATTCCAACTTCCAAGTATAATTTTCAAACTAGTATTAGTACCCGCGCGGATTCACGGACACTAATCATGTCAAATATTTAAGTTATTTGAATTGTATGTAAATAATCTTAATTTTACACTTTCTCAGTAAAATATAGATAATCATTGAATTAACTAAATGAGAAAAAAAATTAACCATTTCTTCTATAATTCTTTTTTGATACATTCTTGCTGGTGTCATTGGATCCTAAAAATAGTGAGGAAGCAAAATAATATTTATGGCAAAATAATCAAATGTTGAGACAATGAATGACTCTTTGGATAAGACTTAACTCTTTTACTACTACTTGAACTCTTATTTGGTGTGTTGATATCTCTTAAAAAATATTTCTTTCTTAAATTTCGTTTCTATAATATTATTTTTCAATAATAATTATTTTTATAATAATATAATTGAAAATATTATTCTTAATTCAAAACTCATTTTAGTTAGCTTTCTAAAAATATAAAAAATTCTTTAGCTAGTGAATTTTTTTTACTCCATTTTAATATTTGACATTAACCATATAAAATGTCTGAGTTATTTGAATTATATGTAAATAACCTTAACATTTGAACCTTCTAAATAATTATGGATAATCGTCAGATATTAATTAAGAAACACTACATGAAAAAAGACTAATATTTTCTCAATTCTCGTAGTTATAATTTTATTTTTGCACTATTCTCATAGGTGTAATTGGAACCTAAATATAGCCACAAAGTGAAATAATGACTCATATTTAATGCAAAGCACAAAGGTTGACACGATATAAACGATTCTTTG